GCCATATGCAAGCTTTAAAACTTGAATTTAACTCACATTCCACTCTGTCGCCTTCCATCTTTAATTATTACTTCAGATGCAATCTTCAAATTGGTTCATGACTTTTTGATGAAAATCCATAAAATGATTCGAGATTTGTCTGATGCCCTACGTTTAAAACCACGCTAATCTAGATGTATGACTGTATTTTACGCAAAATCCCAAAGAATTATTTTTGGTGCAGACGGTTACAAAAAATGAGCACCATATTCGAGCAATGGTAAATACCTCTCAAATCCTCCACAACGACGTTATCTTCGCCTTCCGCAATTTGCGATGCCATTCCAAGGACGATTTCATCCACCGAGTATTCCTGCACAATATCCTGCGCATTCCACCAGTTCTGGCATAGTCGTAGTGCGGGATAGCCGCCTACCTCATCACGAAATTCACACTTCCCACTGGTCCTTTTCCGAAATAGCAGCGCTGGCGGTACCTACATATGTCTAGTATTACACATTTTTTTAACCCGTTTCTTCTACAGTATTAAATTTAATCAACTCAAATTTTACTGGAAATCTGAGAATACATAAACAAAATCACTATACTGCACTCTGCTAAACAGTTTTAGCAAGAAATTTTTTTGGGAAAATTGAGAAATCCAGAAAATTACTCACAATTGTATGCGGGAAACGAAATGCAGCAGTGGCGAAAGCATGCGAAATACCCGGTGGTACATGAGGCTTATATTTTTCGTATGGCGGAACCGCATTGTCATCCGCCAGAATTACCGGCAAAAAATCGTACAATGTTATTTTCTGCAACGATCCAATAACCCAGCGTCGAGCACCCTGCATACAATTCTTCATAGCCAACAAAATAAAAATATGCAAGAACGCATAAAAACACAAAAACTTTGTAAGTATTCCACTAGAACTGCCAAAAATATGAATCTGTAGTCCTTACTGATACTGAAATTAAATCACGGTAGGCTTCCCCGCCTTCAGTTTTTTAGTACATTTTATAAAACAAATAACAGCGCGCACCAATAGCCGGTGCGATCATGCGTTTTGCACAATTCCATCAAGCAAACGTTTGCCTGCTACGAATTTTCACTGCTTAAGGCTTTGGTCTGTTCAGAAATAATTGAAATGTCGTTTGGTTCCTAAGTTGCGAAATTTCCTACTAAAATCCTGCGCGTTGAACATCCTTCCAAAACCAATTTCCCAATTTTCTAGCTTTAAGTGATTTTTGCGTCAAAAATTTTATGTGTCCATATGTGAGACCTAGACGTACTTGGGAACCAAATTTGGCTTGTA